GAGCTGCCAAGGCTATGGAAGCCTTTTGAATCCACAATTTCTGTTACTATTTAGACAAGGCCATAAGCAAAGTGGAAGTTCTCTCCTCCCGAGAAAAGTACATCCTTCTTTGATGGCCTCTTCTTTCCATTGATGTCTCACTCAGAGATCCTTCATGTAGGACATTTTTTGCCACGGTGTCTTGGCTTTCTGTGCCTGAAATGCTCTTACGGGCTTTCAGCCAGACCAGAATGCCTTAAGAGCTGATTCTGAGGTCAGATTGCTATTTAAAGCAATTGTCATTCTATGAGTCTGCTGTGTGGACTGCTTCCCATGTTGGAACATTCTTTCCTTCTTAGTTCTTTCTATCATTATTAACAGACATTTGGTCTTATTTATGTGATCCCTTTAACACTTAAACCTATCTATATGGTCACTTTAACACTTAATATGATTACTTCAACACTTAAGCTAGCATTATTACCTCCCAGCTTAATGGGTTTGGGGTCCCATGGCAAGTTTTTAAAATCTACCCTTAGAATTAAGTCTGTAGGAGTGTATGCAGAACTATACAGCTTTACAGTTACAAACTTCTCCTTCCTCTCTTATTCCCACTCTCATTTTTTACTGAGATCAATTTCAATTGACTTTATACACATATGATTAACTCTATGTTAAGTAAAGAGTTCAACAAATAGTGTGAAGAAAAAAAAAAACAAAAACTGTTCCTTGATAGCCGAGACAAATTCATTGCTTCTCAAAGTGTCAATTTCACTTCTACAGATTTTCTTTTAGGTGCTTTTTAGTTATAGATTAGGGACAACATATGGTATTTGTGCTTTTGGGACTGGCTTCTTTCATTAGATATGATTATGATTAAATATGATGTTTTCCAGATTCATCCATTTTGTTGAAAATGACCAGATTTCATTTTTTAAACTGCTGTGTAGTATTCAGTAGTATACTTTTCACAGTTTCTTTATCCATTTCAGTTGATAGACATTAAGTTTGATTCCATGTCTTAGCTATTGTGAATTGAGCTGTAAGAAACATGGGAGTGCAGATAACTCTTAGATTTGCTAATTTCATTTCCTTTGGGTAACTTCCCTGGAGTGGGATGGCTGGGTCATATAGAAGGTTTATATTCAGATTTCTGAGGTTTCTCCGTACTGTCTTCCATAGTGACTTTCCCAGTTTACATTCCCACCAACAGTGGCTTAAGGTACCTTTTTCTTCACATCTCTCCATTCTCTCCTAGCCAGTAGGGTTTCTGATGAGAAACTGTGAGTTTAATTGGAGATTCTCTGAAAGTAATCTGGCCTTTCTCTTGTGCATATTTTACAATCTTTTCTTTATGTTTTACTGTGGAGAGTTTGATTACAATGTGTCATGATTATCTTTTCTGGCCATGTCTATTAGGAGTTCTATGTGCTTCCTGTACTTGGATGTCCCTTTCTCCAAATTGGAGAAATTTTCTATTATTATTTCACTAAAAAGGCCTTCTATTCTTTTCTCTCTTTCCACGCCTTCAGGAACTCTTAGACTCCATATTTTGGGTTGTTTAATGGTATCCTGTAGATTACCAACAGTGTTTTTTCACTTTCTAATTTCTTGTTTGGTCTGACTGTATAATTTCTTGTGCTTTGTCTCCTAAGTTGGATATTCTGCTTCATCAATTCTGTTAAGGCTTTCCACTGCATTTTTTATTTGTTCTGTTGAATTCTTCATTTCAAAGATTTCATTTTGATTTCTCTTTAAGATCTCAGTTTCATGGGAGAAATTTTCTTTCATGTCATATATGATTTCATTAGTTCATGCATTTGCTTCTAATTACTTCTAAGTAATCCTATGATTTCATCATCTTCACAATCTAGTATTGAAGTGCTGTGTTCTTTTGGGGCATCATGTTGTCTTCCTTTTTCTTGTTTCTTGAATTGGTGCATTTATTATTTGGCATTTATAGAGATACTTGTTGGTTCTTTTTTTTTTTTTCCCCTGTGGTATCTTTTATCTTTGTTCTATTCCTCTGTAGGTTAGTGGAGTGTTTGCTTTCAGTGAATACCTAGAGGCATGTGGTAGGTGTGGCCAAGGAGCTCTGTTTAGTTCTGCAGGATGAATGGTATGTCTGAGGTGACACACCAAGGTTTGGCTTGGTAAATCTTTTTCTTTTTCTTTTTCTTTTTCTTTTTTCTTTTTTTTTTTTTTTTTATCAGAGGGGAGGTTTGTTCTTGTCTGTTGGTATAGACACAGCTGAGCTCCTCTCCTTAAAGGAGACTAATGCCTGGGCACTTGCCCCAGTGGGTATTCATCTGCTCTGCCACAAGGACCACACAAAGGATCTCTGTAGTCCTCGGTGTAAGCTCAGATTCCCCAGCAATGTCCCTCACCAGGTAACAGGGAGCACTAAGCATGTGGAGCCTCCCACAGTGACTGCCAAAGTCCAAGCTATACCCTAGTCCTCCCACGCAGCCTCAGTGTTTTCACAGTCCTGGCACACAAACCTCCCACAGCCACGAGCATCTAGCCCCCTATCTGTTTTCCCCACCAAATGTAGGAATCTCCGCTTGGCTGGTTGCTGAGCAGAGACACAAGCTGGCCCAACTGTTACACATTTCTAAAATGGTGCCTGCTCTCTGTCAGTTTGTTACAGGACACTGTTGCAGAGTGATTGTGGATAGAGAAACATACCTCCCCCTCCCTCCTTCCCCTCTCCCTCCCTCCCTGCCTCCCTTCCTTCCTTCCTTCCTTTTTTTCTTTCCTGTTGTGTAGTATTCCATGGTGTGCATGTCCCATAACTTCTTCATCCAGTCTTCAGTTAATGGGCATTTGGGTTGATTCCATATCTTAGCTATTGTGAATTGAGCTGCAATAAACATGGGAGGACAGATAACCTTTCATGTGCTGATTTTATTTCCTTGGGTATGGTTGGGTCATATGCTAGGTCTAGATTCAGGATTCTGAGGTATCTCCATACCGTCTTCTACAGTGCTGTACCAGTTAACTCATACCTTTACAGTTTATCAAAGTTGAAATTTTAATTCTTTGTGGTCCCAGTTTCTGTGGTATGACATCCTTTGTGCTACAGGGTGAATTTGTTCTTTCTCCAAGCCCTTCTGGAGCTTTCTTTTAAAAAGAAATTCTATTGTGTATAGTTAGCATATGCCATAGTGTTATTAGATACATTTAGATAGCTAAAAAATTAATATGTGCATTGTCTCATCTAGTTACTGTCCCCCCACCCCTTTGTTTGTGGCAAGAGCAGCCAAGATCTACTGTTTTAGCATGAATCCCAAATGCAGTACAATTTTGTTATCTAGAGTCCACATTGTTGTACATTAGATCTCTAGATTTATTTTCCTAGAGCTTTGCACCTGCCTTACCTTAGGCATTATCTTGTTGTTTTGTTATATTTGTCTCTAATATCACCTTGAAGAGAACTGGTTAATATAAATAAAAGGTAAGCCACATATGAAGAGTCTTTAAAGCATTCATAGAAAAAAGGGATTAAAAGATATGTGGATTTTACATGAACATTTTGGAGCCCTCTTATATATAAATTTGAATCTTGTTTAGAACATATCAAAATGAAAAGAAGCAGGAGAAATTAATTTTAATGTGTTCTTATTTAACCCAACATATTAAGAATATCATTTCAACATATAACCAATATGAAGCTTATTAAATGATATATTTTATATTATTTTTGTACTAAGTCTCCAAAATCCAGTGTATATTTTACACTTTGAGCACATCTCAGATACAAAGAACTATGTTTCAGGTTCTGGATACCACCATGGCCGGTGGAAACCCTATTGTGGGGCTGGCACTGTGGTGTAGCAAGTAAAGCCACCACCTGCAGTGCTGGCATCTCATATGGACTCTGGTTCAGTTCCTGGCTGCTCCCCTTCCAATCCAGCTTTCTGCTAAAGCCTGGGAAAGCAGTGGGAGATGGTTCAAGCCCTTGGGCCCCTGCACCTATGTGGGAGAGCCATAAGAAGCTCCTGGCTCCTGGCTTCAGATTGGTGTAGCTCCAGCCATTGCGGCCATTTGGGGAGTAAACCAGCAGATGATAGACCTCTCTCTCACTCTCTCTCTGCCTCTGCCTCTCTATAACTCTGCCTTTCAAATAAATAAATAAATCTTAAAAAATAAAAAAGAAACCTTATTGTATAGCATAATTCTAGGCTTTGAGGTTTGGAATGATGTGTGAATTTTATTGTACTTCTGGCTACAGGTGTTGTTCATTCACTATGTGGCAACCCATGAATAAATGAACACATGTTATTAAAAAAAATTAAGAGAGATAAAAATGGTAAAAACAGCAGATAAATGTCAATTTCAGTTTTCCTTATTTTTAAGTTTGGAAAGCAAAACTGATAGTCTAAAGCAGGAGTTGATAGAACATCTTTTATTTATTTATTTACTTACTTACTTATTTATTTATTTATTTATTTTATTTAAAAGCACTTGGGCCATGTTCCGCTGCTTTCCCTGGCCATAGCAGAGAGCTGGATTGGAAGAGGAGCAGCCGGGACTTTAATTGGCGCCCAGTTAGGATGCTAGCATTGCAGGCAGTGGCTTAGCCCACTAGTTCACAGTGTCAGCCCTGACAGAGCACTTTCTAAAGGGCCAGATATCTTAGATTCATGGACCCTAGTATGTCTGGTGTAACTACTGAACTCTGCTATTGAAGATGAAAGCAGCCATAGACAGTATATAAATGAATGGATGTGGCTGTATCCCAGTGAAACTTTTGCAAAAACTGACAGTGAACCATTTTCTAAATGCCATGAATAAAGCAAAAACTGTAGGGAGGTATTTGTAAAGCATATTTAAAATTAAGTGGGGGTGGGTGTTATGACAGACAATTTGCATTGTGTCACAAAAAATGGAGCATTATTTACCTTTGATCTCTGATCTCACCAGTTTTACTTTACCAATTTTGATTTTGGGAGCTCATCTAGTAGATGAGAATTGGTATCTCACGTAGTTGTAATTTGTATTTTGTTTATTGTGAACCAAGATGAATGTCTTTTTTACAAATCCTTTGCTTTAGTATAAATGTTTGTCTAACTAAAATTCATGAAGAGGCAGACTTTTTGAGAGGTGATTAAGGCATGAGATCATGGGATTAATGATGTTTTAAAAGGATAGGTTTGCCCCCCTTTTGCTTCTTGGTTCTTCTGCCTTTTGTTACATATGGTTCCAACCTTCTTCCACTCATCATTTTGAAAGAAGAGGATGGTCTCATCAGACACCAAACCTGTTGGCTTCTTGTCCTGAAGCTTCCCAGCCTCTAAATAATAAGTACATACATACAAATATGTAAATAAAATTTCTGCTCAGATATTCTGTTATAGCCATACAGACTGTAATATCCTTAAAAACCATGTCTCTCATTTTCATGAACTACTTGTTCATTATATCTCAACCCCATTTTCTTTAAGTTAGTTGGATGTTTTTCCTTCCAGTTTTCATAAGATCCTTATATATTAAGGATATAAAACCCAGGTTTTTTTTTTTTTTTTTAATTACTTTATTTGACAGGCAGAGAGAGAAAGAAAATCCCCCATTCACTGGATCGCTTCCCAAAGACCTACAGCAGCTAGTTGGGCTGGGTCAGGCCAAAACCAGCAATCAAGAACTTAGTCTGGTTTCCCATATGAGTGGCAGGGACCCAACCACTTAAGCCATTAACACCTACTGCACATTAAAAGGAAGCTGAATTGGGAATCTAGCTGAGCTGGGAATCTAACTCTGGCACTTCAGTATAGGATATCGGTATCCCAAGCAGGATTTTAACTACCAGTCTATGCACTTGCCTCTGTATCTGTGCAAATGTAAATTTTTACACTTGGCTATCTTATGGTGATTATTTTAATTAATATTTTTGAAAAATCACAGATTTTTCAAAGTTGCATCATAATTTTTCATCAATATTCCTCTGTTGTTTCTGAATGTCTAATCATAGTTAAGAAAACCTTTTCTATTTTCAGGTTATATTGGAATTTTTTTCTAATAATTGTATTTCATTTTTACATTTAAATTTTCATCCAATTTATTTTTTTACCATGCTTGGAAATTAGAGTGAATTTTTTAAACATTTGGCTATTGAGTATGAAGAAATCAACTTTTTTTCCCAACTGATTGGAGATACTGCTTTTGTTGCAACAAAATGCTTTTGAAAATGCTTTTGTTGCAACATGTTTCATATGCAGAGGATCTGTTTTCCAATTTTTCCATTCAGTTTCACTAGTCTGTTTATGTATGAATACAATTATCTAGTTCCTTTCCACCGATCTTCTTGTTTCATTATTTTCTAGATATTCAACTTTGTAATCAAGTTAGCTACTTCCAGAAAACTTACATACATTTACTGTATGAAAATTTGTAAATCAGTTAAAGGGAATATAGCTCTTACTGACATGTATACTTTATATGTTGTTTACCTTCTTCCAGTCTAAGGACAGTGAAACAATCTTGTTTAAACCTTCCCTTCTAACTGATATGCTATTGATGTCATGTACCTTTTGTTCTTTTTTTTTTTTTTTTTTAAGATTTTATTTATTTATTTTTTTGAGATGTAGAGTTACAGACAGAGCGAGGGAGAGAAAGGACTTCCATCTATTATTCACTCCCCAAATGGCCAAAACAGCCAGAGCTGACCTGATCAAAGCCAGGAGCAAGTATCTTCCTCCAGGTCTTCCACACAGGTGCAGGAGCCCAAGCACTTAGGCCGTCTTCCACTGCTTTCCCAGGCCATAGCAGAGAACTGGATCAGAAGAGGAGCAGCCAGGACTAGAACTAGCCACCCATATGGTGTTCCAGTACTGCATGCAGAGGTTCAGTCCATATGCCACAGTGCTGGCTTCTGCTCTATTTCTTAAAGCCCAGATGAGATCATTAATGTTCTTTCCAGCTCTCCAATTTTCTAGACCACCTATGTACTAACTTATTTGCATCTTAGACCTTTTTTGCCAATGTTACTTCCCATCTCTATAAACACCTATTTTTTTCTTATTATTTATATATTGTTTGTATTTAGATTTTATAACTTACTATGATTAGCTAGGTGTAGATTTCTTTTTATGTATCTTTATTGGGATTTTCTGGGCTTCCTCAATCTGTGAATTCTTATTTTTCATCAGTTGTGAAAACTTGCTGCCCAGTTATTATTTTTGTTTTCCTTTTGGAACTATGATTAAACTTATATACTCCACCCCCATGTCTCTAACACTTGGTTGTGTTTTCTTTTACTTTGTCTTTCTGTACTGCACGCTATAATTTTTTTCAGATCTTTCAGTATAATAGTGTTTTTATTAAGCTACCTTTAATCAGCCATTAAGTCTACATAATAATTTCAGTGATTTTATTTGTAGTTTTTTGACTGCTAATGTTAATTTATATTTTTATTTTTCAATAATTCATTTCTTAAGCTATGCTATATTCACATTTTATATTCTATGTCTAATTTTAATGTGTTAAAGTTTTTGTGGACTAACATTCTGTTGGCTCTTGCTCATTATACTATGTTTCCTTGTATGTTGTATCTTATTGTTATTATCATTATTTTTATTGAAAATGTCAGTTTGTATTTTAGAATAAATTTAATATAATTAAGTTTGGATTGGAGATGGGTTCTTTAAAAAATATTTTTATTTGACAAGCAGAGCAAGGTTGGCAGGGGGAGAGATTGATTGATTGATATTCCATTTGCTAGTTCAGTCTCCAAATGCCACAACACCCAGGCTAAGATCCAGGAACTCCATCTGTATCTCCCACATGGGTGGCAGGGATTCAAGTACATGAGCCATCATCTGTTGCCTCCCAGGCTGCACATTTAGCAGGAAACTGGATTGGAAGTTGACACAGGACTCAATCCCATCTAACATGGATTGCAGACATCCTAAGAAGTGGACTTAACCCACCGTGCTCTCAACCCCCTCAAAAAAAAAAAAAAGATGAGTTCTTTAAAAAGGATTTGGTATATAGCTCTCTCAATTTTCAGTCAAGGGCAAAGCCACTTTTGTTTTCAGAGGGATAGTTACTAAAGGTAACCTAATCTGGTAACTATGGAAAATACAACACACAGTTCTTTTTCTTTGCTAGTATACACTGAAAAAAACAAACTGAATCTTCCTCAGTAGAGGCATGCTACTGGAGAAGGTATTTTGAAGATAAGTACATTGAAATGGTTGAGTATGTCAAAGTAAATGCTCTTTGTGAATATTAAGTAGCACTAAGTATAAATTTCTATGATATCAAAAATTTATTTAATTTGTATGGAAGAAATTCCTAGGAATCTAGAGTTTTAAATAAAATATGGATAATAAAATTTTATTTGTTACTATTTGATTCATGTAGAATTCACTTGAATTTCTTTGTCTTAAACTGGTAAGTGGATTTATTTTGATAGTTAAGTATCATAATTCAGTGGAATTTCTTATAAGTAGATAAATGTACAAATCCACATTCTTGATTTTTCAGCATGATACTTACTGATATGTTACAGAGAGTAGTAATTCTGGTTATAGCTACCACTTGTTGTGTCTGGTATTTTAAGGAAATCTGGTACCTTATTACTATGTAATACAAGGAAAAATATGATCTGAATTCCAAGCATTGAAATGATAGAATAGTTTATTTCTTATATAGGAACTCCACTAGTAGTCTTAAGTTTGCATAGCTAGTAGGAGTATATTGATTTATGAAAGACAAATAAATAAATTGTTATATAAGGTATATTTTTTTAAATTCCAAAGCAATATAATTTGTTAGTGCATTTGCTGCACTACAAATTATTTTTGTTTGCATATTAATCTTTTTATAGGTAACTCTATGTCAGATAATTATTTCAATTTAGGTAAACAAACTATAGGTAACCCAAAATTAGGACTAAGATTATATATGGAGGGACGTATGCTATGGTACAGTGGATTAAGTGCTGGTTCAAATCCTGGCTGCTCTGCTTCCAATCTAATTCCCTGCTTATGGTGCCTGGGAAAGCAGTGGAAGATGGCCCAAATACTTGGGTCTTTGCCACCCATGTGGAAGACCCAGTTGGAGTTCTAGGTTCCTGGCTTTAGTCTGGCCCAGCCCTGGCAGTTATGGCCATTTGGGGAGCAAACCAGCAGATGGAAGATCTCTTGGTCTCCCTCTCTCTCTGTCATTCTGTATTTCAAATAAATCTTTTTAAAAAAAGAGATATTGATTTATATAGGTAATTGTATATTAAACATTCAGTAACACATACTAAATATATTAAACATTAAAATAGTATAAATATAAAATTGGGATAAACATTTTGATTAATCAATCACTTACAATAACTTGTTTTATTTCAACAAGACTAACATATACATAGCCGAGTAGGACAAATTTCTGAAGACCTTGTGTTAATTTATTGTTGAAGGAAACTTGGATGACAATTTAATACAAATAACAGTAGTTATATATATATATATTAGATTATATCATATATATATAGCATATCTATTAGATTATATCATATATTATATATATATATATTAGGAAACACCTTTAGCACTAAATACCAGAGAATGTTCTGAGTGTTTTTCAAGAGGTAGCTGTGATTACCATTTCTGTTTTATAAATAAATAAGTAAAGCCATTAGAATTTTCAATAACTTGCCCAGGGTTGCAGATCAAGTAAGTGGAATGAGATTCAAATCCAAACAATGTGATTCCACACCATGGATTTATAAAAGTATGTATAGAACATATTTTAGATTTTTAGCCCTTAAATCTCTATTGCTACTATTCATTACTGCCACGACAATGTGAAAACAGCCATAGGGGCCAGCGCTTTAGCACAACAGGTTAATCATCTGCCTGCAGTGCCATGTGGGCGCCGGTGCTAGTCCCGGCTGCTCCTCTTCTGATCCAGCTCTATACAATGGCTTGAAAGCAGCAGAAAATGGCCCAAGTCCTTGGGCCTCTGCACCTGCAGGGGAGACCCAGAAGAAGCTCCTGGCTCCTGGCTTCGGATCAGCACAGCTTTGGCCGTTGTGGCCATTTGGAAAGTGAACCTGCGGATGGAAGATCTTTCTTTTTGTCTTTCCCTGTCACTGTCTGTAAATCTATGTCTCAAATAAATAAATAAAATCTTTAAAAAAATCCATAGGCCGTACATGTAAATAAATGGGTGTGACTGTGTTTTAATTCCGTATTTCTTAAAAGTATGATATCTGAATTTCATGTAATTTTCACCTGTTATGAGATAACTATTCATTTGGATTTTTTAAAACAAAATATGACCAACCATGCATCTCATGCA